AATTCCATGGATTTCTTGGCCAAGATTTAACCTAAATTCAATCCTCTATATATACACAACCTAACCCTAATGCATTGGACGTGAAAATTGCTGCAGAAAAGCCATAAGCATATTGAAAAAAATCAAAGAAACTTGAAAATTGTTTTCAATCTTCCATGTCAATTCAAGGACTTTTGTTGTTTCTAACATATTGCTGGAAGTCTCAGGGACACATTGCAATCAAAACCATACGCCAAAGCTCAAGAAATCAATCTACACAGACCCACGGTTTGCATATCTTTCCCATAATCGAAACTCATAATTCATAAGCATTTGATGTGATTTTTTGCTTGTTTTGTATTGTTAAAGACCACAGGAAACTAATGGCATAAGCTAATTGGATTATAATGCGCAGAATTGAAAGTTACCATTGACAAATATTAGGGTTCATAAACCTTGAATTTGGGGATTCAGTAACCAGGGAAAATTGGAACCTCTAATGCATATGGTTGAATTCAAGAGATTCAGACGAATCTAACAGGACCATCGCGCCATATTTATATAGCCTAGGGAGCTAATCGCTATTATTCCTCGTTCCATATTGTGGGGGTTAAAAACCCCCTCTATCTCTTTGTCTTTTTTACAGGTAAACGAAGAAGACGATGAGCTGGTGATGTGCTATTGGTTCATTCAAATAAAAAAGGCGTGCGTGTTTTGTTACAGCATAAGTGTTGATTTTTATATATTATAATTACTCATTATTATATTAACAAATGCAAGCGAATGGCTCAATGGTGGATGCGTTGTCCAAGAATCATTGGGACCTGGGTTCGATTCCCAGGTCCCCCAAATCCCTTGTTTCTATTTTTTCCAATGTATTCACATGCAGGTTGCTAAAAGGTGTCTACCATATACCTCACGCCTCAGTGTGCCAAGTGGCTGACAAGCAGATCCAGTGGCCAAAAGATGATGAGTACCATACTCCCAGTCAAGGCACGCTCTGGACAATTCAGGAAAGTCAACAAAGGCTTGAGCTTAGTGGGCCTCAGAATTGCCAAGCAAACCTCCATATTTGGCCCATCACCCCCCTCGTTCTTTCATAATTTTCTTTTTATTTTCTTTTACTAATTATTATTATTAATTATTATTATTATTATTTAATTAACTCACATAATTATTTTTCATAATAAATTCAGATAACTAAAAAATGAAAATATTATTTATTTTTATTATTTATTAATTTCACTATTAATTATTATTTTGTAAATAAATGCTAACAAAATTGATTTAGTCTTTTAATTAGGTTAACTTTAACTTTTTCTCAATTATTTAAAACAAATTAGAATTAGGTTTACTAACTTTTGACTTTATTTTATTTTTATTTTTATTTTCATTAAAACATAAAAACTAAAAAATACTTTTTCTTGTAATTATTTAATTAATTAGTAAATTAGGTTTAATATTTAATTAAATGCAAAAAGGACCAAATTCCATTCTTTTCTCAAAAAAGGGTCAAAACCCTAAGGACGTCCTGATTCAATTTCTTTTCGCGCATGATATTTTATTTTTCATATTTATGTATCTGCTCCGGGAATGTAATAGATAATTAGGACCCCTTTTATCGCTTTCTTTACTTTCCGCAATTTATTTTCAAGGGTTATGTTTTTGGCGATGTAAATACCCGACGCCTTGTAATAGCGTAGATTTATTTTCCGCAATTTACTTTCCGCACAATTATTAACTGTTAACTATGCATGACAAGACTTGTATGAAAATTAAAACCAAAACGTAGCTCACCATAACTTGTGCAAAGATAATATAAACTGAAACCTGACACACTCGCACATGCCACTCCTAGGGTACGCCTCACTTGGTTGCCTCGACGTGGTCATTAAGTATAGGGTGTTTTAGAGGCCGCCCTCCTGTCTAAAGATCCTAGTTGCCTCGAAACGGTTGCCTCGGATAAAAAGGACCTAGGACATTAGGGTTACCGCTAAGGCGTCCTACCATTGCTTTGGTGACCACACATGTCCCTATAATCGAATTGACCCGAATAATTCCAACGACGGTGCTACCTACTTCTCAATAGTGGGATAGTACTGTCTAAAGGATATTTACACAGCTTAATTCCTTTAGAGTAGGTAGATTTCTCCTGGGTACTTGCTCTTTCAAAAACAAAACAAACTTTTCGCACCTACACTTTCAAAAAGTTTTCAAACAAATACTTCATACACTCTTGAGGACTGATACAAGAGTTACCTAGAAGTTTTCAAACGAAACTTTTTCAAAACCCACATACACAAGAAAAGCAAACATTTTTTAAAACAGTGAGCAAGTACCTAAGAGCCCGTGGATAACCACAGATAGAAAGGGTTCTAACACCTTCCCTTTCTATAATCTACCTCCCGAACTGAGAAACATCTCAAAAAGGAATTTTGTTGTGCTTTTGTCCTTTCCTTGTTGGAGAACATAAAAGACGGTGGCGACTCTTGCTTACCGCGACATTTCGCGAACCAGCATTCCAAAATAGTCAGTTCTATTCCCACCGATCACACCCTTCCTTCAAGATAAATAAAGTTTGGTGGCGGTTCTGTGTCTTTTGCCGGCAACTTCATCCCATCCGCATAAATATTAAGCAAAACAGAGCCAAAGGCTACGCAAGAGGAAAAGGATAAGAAAACTTACGTGGTTGGATAACTAAGATGCGGGGTCAAAATGACTCTGTAATGATGGCAGACGGTGGTACACATAGACAACAACAAGGATAAAACAAACATATGAGCGAAGAGGAGAGAGAAGTGAGAACGCAAACAAACTCCAATTCACCTTATTTATAATACGGCCTCGAAACACGTGCCCACACGTGACCCAGGGCGGTATATGGGTCATCATTTAACCCTAGCCCTTAGGCTGCCATCATTACACACCTGTGAGAGCACATGGCTCAAGGCATGCATGACACGCTACCTCTCAATCAACCATTCAGATCCCCGTGCACCGAACACAAAAACCCATGTTCAGGATCCTCAACGCAGTTTCCCCGAGCGCATCCTGAAGCCTCCTCGACACACGGGCTGACTCTAAGTCATCACTCCTACTCCTAGGAGCAACGACTTGGAGGGATCCTGTTCTGGATTGGCCTAATGACTAGAATCAGCTCAATCTGCTTTTATCCTTTGCATGGCCCAACAATACCGGGCCAGTAGCTCTGGACCTCCTGTCGGGCATCCCTGGTCGATCACGCCCCTTGAGCGGCAATATCAACGATTCCCGAGACACACTCCTACCCCTGCAGGAAACTTCCTGTTTTCTCGATGCATGTAGAGAAGACACCCAGAAAACACTCATAAATGCTTTTGTCCATAATCCCTTCCGTACTCGGTGCAACAACTAGTTACGGGCATGACTACCCATTTTGACCAAGTCTTGGCAGTTACCTATTTTTGAGAAACCTAATATCTTGACCTAAAAATAGGAACCAATGGTCAAGCGCCAAGGGCACTATATAAACCCTCACACCTGTGAGGGCCAAGTATCAAATATTCACACTAAAAATCCTAACATTTTCTTGTATCTCTTTGCACCCATTCTTACTTGATCGTCGGAGTGTCTTGCAGGTACACCCCCTCCTCTCCTCAAATTTTCAGCCAAGCAGACGTCATCCTTCGATCCACTCTCAGGTTCTGATCAACCGGTAAGATCAGTAACACTGAACCTTTATCTTGTCAAGCTTCTCATTTCCCTTCTGATGTTTCCTCTCATCAGATTTGGAGGCTTCTGACTTCTCAGAACCCCCATGTCTCTTCTTGGCCTCTGGCCAATAATGCTTTTGATTCTTCTCACTAAAAGACGCTTTTAGAGCCTGCTCTACCTCTCTTTCAGAGTTTCTCTCAATCAGATGTAACTCTTGTGTCTCTAGACAAATCTATAACTCTTCAATTCACATGGTGCCCAGGTTCTTAGAATGTTCGATTGCTATAATAATATAATCAAACTGAAGAGTAAGTGAGCGCAATACCTTTTCAATGGTTGCTTGTTCAGATAACATTTCTCCACAAGACTTCATCTCATTTGTGATCAAAATCACTCTGGAGATGTAATATGGTAATTTCTCGTTGTTCTTCATGTTGAGATTCTCATAATGCTTACGTAGACTCTGAAGTTTCACCTTCTTCATTGATGTTTCATCGTCGTAGCACTGTACTAGTGTGTCCCACGCAACCTTCGATGTCGAATCAACGATCTTCTCAAACACGTTCGTATCCACACACTGATAGATATAAAACAACGTCTTTTGATCCTTCTTTCTTGTTTCACGTTGCACGTTTCTTTGTACTTTTGTTGCATTCCATGCAACCACCATGTAACCGCCATTAACGAGATCAAGAATATCTTGAGCGCCAAAAAATACACGTATATGAATCATCTACTGATTCTAATTCTTTTCATCAAATACTAGACGCTTTGTGTTCAAGCTATCGTTTTCGCCGTTCATCTTCATTTTTGTTGAAATTCACTCATATCTCATTAACACTCGGATGCTATCAATACATCACCTTTTTTTTCTTTTCAATATATCTAAAAAATTTCAATGTATTTAAAAGATTTTTTTATAAAATAGAATTCGAGGTAGTATTTTCTTTATTTTGAATTCTTAAACTCGTTAGCATAATCCAATTGTCTAGTTCCAACATTTATGTAATGTCATGCCAGATCCGAAAATGAAAGTACACGTAACATAACATAAATGAATTAACCGTGAAACAAATCCTAACAGTGTCACAGTGTAGTGCTTTCGGATCTTGATGTTAGAGTGACACGTAAACTTTCATGCATTCCATAAAACGTGTCATCTTTTGCTGTTACACCCTATCGGTGATGCGCAACTTTGTTTCTGTTTTTCACTTTAGAGTTCACTCAGATTCACCTGACAAAAATAACTGACATCAACCTTTGCCATACGAAAGACTGTACTGTAAGAGTGAGAAAAAATCATTGTTCGAGAACATAGAAAAATAACAATGGCCATGATGATGAACATGATGGTTGCAGTTAATTTTACATCTGATATGGAAAGAAATCTGGCTCATGATCACGCACAGGTTGTTCCTATCACACTCGTTGTCGCTGTTCTATGCCTTTGCTTGCTCATTGGTCACTTGCTTGAAGAAAGTCGATGGATTAATGAATCCATTGTCGCCATTTTTGTTGTAAGATCCATTACCATAATGAAATCTATAGTTTCTATTTCAGTTTATCTTGTTGCCTCATTCATAATTAATCCTCGTTGTTAATCATGAACGGTTGAAAATTTCTTTGATTTCACGGATAAATCTGCCATGAACATGGACACTATACGTACACCTCGATACCGATAATTATTTTATATTGACAATAATTTTAAGAAAAATAAATAAGTTGAACGTAATATCATATGTTGTGTTGGTGTTCGACACTGACACATGGTGTCAGATTCCAGACACTTCTTTGTTCAGAGATCTCGGTGTTAATATACTTTGTGCTTCTCTTTGGTAGGGATGCATTGCTGGATTGGTTATCTTGTTATTAACTAAGGGAAAAAGTTCTCGGATCCTTACATTTAATGAAGAAGTATTCTTCATATACCTCCTCCCCCCTATAATATTCAATGCAGGGTAAAACTTTCTTTTTGTCTTAGCACAGACACTCTCCGGATACAACACCGCTACTGACACGGCGAATTTAGAAAAGAAATTAAAGGTGATCACAATTGTCAGTAAAAGTGTTGGTGTCCAACACGAACACAAACACGCCATTTTTCAGAGTTGTCAGTGCTACATAGCTTACTTAGACTTGAAACATCTCTTCACATTCCAAAATTTGATGCTTTTGAAATGTCTTTCTTAATAGGTTTCAGGTGAAGAAGAAACAGTTCTTCCACAACTTTTTAACCATCATGCTGTTTGGAGTGATAGGGGTTTTCATTTCAACGTCTATTATTACCGGTGGTAATGACTGGTCTTTTAGTTATTCTCTTTCGTGAAACTTGTAGCATTATCATTTCGATGATTTTCATGGATTCACCTTACATTTGGTTCACCTAGGCAGCTGGTGGCTGTTTCCCAAGTTGGGCTTCCCTTACCTTACAGCGCGAGATTATCTCGGTAAGATTAATTGCATCATCTCAATAACAATAATGATCGATAATCTATACATACATATTTGGATAACAATTGGCTTATCTTAATTTGATTCAGCTTTAGGAGTAATTTTCTCGTCAACCGACACAGTATGTACACTACAGGTTGGTTAGATTTGTGAATAGCTTTATTAATTTAGTTATATATATCCACATAATCTTAGTTTCAACACTGCATTTGGAGGCTCTTGTAGGTTCTTAATCAAGAAGCTACTCCTTTACTATACAGCTTAGTCTTTGGGGAAGGAGTGGTAAATGATGCAACATCAGTTGTACTCTTCAATGCAGTCCAAAAGCTTGATGTTTCAAGACTTAACGGCAAGGCACTCCGTGTTATTGGTGACTTCTTGTATCTATTCGCAGCAAGTACCGCACTTGGAGTCATAGTGAGTACTGTTAACAAGCATTGTAGGCAACAAATGACCAAGATATGTTTTTTTCAATTGTTGTTAGCTGAATTCACGGCTTCCTATACATTCTTTAGTTAGTCGATAGCATTACGCTCGTTGTTTGTTCTCGGGAATTCCTGTTTACTTCGATGAATTCTTCTTTATACAGGCTGGACTTGTCACAGCATATATCTTGAAAGCGTTAACCTTTGGAAGGTATGTATGTTTTTCTCTATAAGTTCTCTAAAATGGCATTTAAAGATTGATCTGAAATATAAACATCAAAGTTCAACAATCCCATTTCATACTTTTGAGTTATGAAGGTGAAAATTTGAGGACAAGTTAACAAATTTCCCCCCTGCATATTTACGCAGACATTCAAGTGTTCGTGAAATTTCAATGATGATGTTAATGGCATATCTATCCTACATGTTAGCAGAGGTATTGTATAAGTTATTTCTATAACAAAAGATAAAGTATAGTCAAACTATTTCAATTTACCGATAAGTACTTACACCGGTAGAAAAATTCAAATAAGTTAGTCAAAACAAACGGTCAGATAACCTAGAGATTTTTGGCTTTTTATTAAGTTTAGATACTTTTTTTTCCACCATTCATCTAAACTGAAAATTCTTATACAGCTTCTTGAACTAAGTGGAATCCTCACTGTTTTCTTTTGCGGAATAACAATGTCACATTATGCATGGCATAATGTGACTGAAATTTCAAGAACCACAACCAGGTATTTGGTTAGTCCATGGTAGAGTTTAGTAGTTTCCTGACTCAAGGTCTTAGTTTTTTGATTTTGGTTTCTTTTCTCCAGGCATGTGTTTGCAACAATGTCATTTATCGCAGAAACTTTCATATTTCTTTATGTCGGTATGGATGCCCTTGACATTGAAAAGTGGAGGATGACCCATTTAAGGTACTATACTTCTCTATGACTCTGTACAATTAAGTGTATCTTTAGTTCTGCGATGACTAAAACTGATTTTGAATATAGTAAATTTGTAAAATTGACGTTGTTTATGATATTGTCTTAAAAATAACTTGCGAGACTCATTGCAACATAAACATTTTCTTGTCAACTTCATTGCAGATTTGGAAAATTGTTGGGAATTTACAGTTGCTTAATTTTCTTAATATTGCTTGGGAGGGCTGCATTTGTTTTCCCGCTCTCCACACTGGTCAATTATATGAATAGGCGCGTCGAAGAAACACCAAGTATCACATTACAACACCAGGTTTTCTGTTTTTGTTTTATATGATAGTCTTGTAGTGTTAAAGCTATATGAGAAAATAGTTTTTTTTGTACCGGCTTCTTATGTTTGGTGAATGATACAGATAATCATCTGGTGGGCTGGAGTAATGAGGGGAGCAGTCTCCATTGCTTTGGCCTTCAAACAGGTATGTTCATGAAGTTTTCATTTCTAGATATCGTAGTTAGAATGAAATTTATAAAATAAATGTCTTATGTATCGAGGTGTAGCATAAGGCGGTACTATTGAATTTTCATTTCTTTGTTTATGCAGTTCACATTCTCTGGGGTTACTTCAGATCCAGTTAAAGCCACAATGATTACCAACACCATTATTGTTGTCCTTTTCACCACACTGGTGAGTTGCGTCGATTGATTTGATATATGAGGATTGTGTATTTTTTTCTTATATGCTCTTAATCTTAATAGTAACAGATTAAAACTTAGAAAAGTTTATGATGAAGCTATGAGAGATTAATTTCCTAGAGTTTATCATGAAGCAAATTATCTTTCATCATGATCATTCTTAGAATGTTTTGATATCACCAAAATGATGGTATTGCAGGTGTTTGGTTGCGTCACAAAACCACTTGTTAGATATCTTCTTCCCCACCACCACGCAAGAAGGGTAGACAAGAGCCATGAAGGGTCGAGCTCACCCGTTGCGGACTTGAATCTACCTTTACTATCCTTTGACGAGTCAGCAGAAACCAACCTTAGCCGTGCAAAGGAAAGCCTATCCATGTTAATAGAAAGTCCTGTATACACTATACATTACTATTGGAGGAAGTTTGATGATGCACACATGAGACCTATATTTGGAGGACCTTGCTCTAACCCTAACCCTTCAGAGTGCTAGCAAATCAATTCAACATATCATATTGGATATCTAAGAGATAAAGATGCACTTGGAAGTTGGAAAACAAATGATGATCCACTTTAATCCAGTTTTGAAGATTAAGTTGCTTCAATGCGCATTCAACACCAATGTTTTGGAATTTAGTAGCAAGTCAGGTACGAATATCACAAAAAAATGTGAACTTGAAGATCTAAGGAAGTAGTTAATTTCTTAAGACTGGTCAATCTTGAGGCATGTTAGAATCATCAAACTTTTTGATTTAATGCATACTCTAGAAAAAATTTGGTTGATGTTTGTTGCATAATATCTTACAAGTCGATTTTGTGAATGAGTTTGGTTTAAAGTTCAAATTATAAGAATATAGATTGCAGATTAAGATGTAAATGGAGTGATATATATGACTAGAAATTCTTGTCATTGAGTGAAAAATGCATTATGTTTTATGAATTTTTAGTACATGAAATAACTACCTAAAATTTAATAGGTAGGAAACCGATACATCATACATCTTGCATACATATATATGGAAAAGGTACTCAAATTGAAAATTAACCAATTTATTTGAAAGGGTGGGCTAGAGGATGCTTCATTAACCATTTCTAAGAGAAGTGATTCTCAATAATTGCTTCAAGTTTCTGCAAAATAAAGAAGAACATGTCACAAAACACTGATGCCAAAATCAATAATAAGACCGGTCTATTCAAGCTTAAGCTTAATTACCTCTACATCCAGGTGGTATTTTTAGACCACATTTTTTTAGCAAGGCCAATGCTTTTGTAGGGTTGATTCCAAATGTAGGTAGAAGATACTTGTATCCGCAAATGCAAATCAATTTACCCTTTTTAATTACTGCACAACATTTTGCACTTGGTTTTGGAGGGTTTTTCCCAGTCATTGCTGCATTGCATGAGCCTAGCTTATTTGTGTCGATGTCACATATTACAATAGCTTTGGCACCACCAAACAATGTAATGAGCAATGCAACAAAAACTAGCCAATTCAGAATCAAAACATTGACATTAGTCTTTGCCATACTCTCCTTAACTAGGATATAAACAAGGTATGGTGTTAATTTATATAAAGTAGAGTTTTAGACTCTAGGGTGTTGTTGCTACTTGCAATATTATTTTACATGGCTTCACTTTGTTTTAGGTGAGCAAGTTGCATTACTATTTTACATAGATTCACTTGGTTTTAGGTGTATCATGTGAATTCACTCGAAAGATGCTCACAAGATAGGTTTACACAAGAAGTAAAGATGAGATGTTGACCACAATGAAACAATCTTTAAATTGGTGACCTTTTGCTAATAAACAATGTTTCACTAACTATTTGCCAGAGCATGAATGTACTTAGTATTATTATTTTTGGGTTGTACAAAACCACTTGTATTAAGAGGGATATTTTCCATTTATACATACTTTTTGAATCATTTTATATCTCCACCAAATTCAGGCTTATACAACTATTTTTCCGACATTTTGACTAGGTACGCTCATTTATATGATGTCAAAGTGTTCACACTTGGATCATATATCTTAATACCACACTTCTCTCTTACTTGATTTAAGTTACCTCTTGTTGGAACATGTCCATGTTTTAATATGTTGAATTTAAAAATTTCTCAAGTCCCACATTGTTAGAATATTTTTTTTGGTTGAAAAAAACCATTTAGTCTCACATTGCTCATGTGAGAAATATTAACTATCTTACTTCACTATATAAGGAGTGCACATGTTTCATTCCAAATTACACCAAAAACTATTCTATTAGTTTTTCCTTCCTCACTCTCATAACTCTGCGTCTCTCGAATTGTCGAAGCACCATCTTCTTTCCTTTTCTTCCTACTCGTTGAATTTTCTGAGTATTTTCTTGAATTCTCTTTAGAGAATTATGTTAATTTCTCCTCATTTGAGTTGAGAAATTTTCAAGTTTAATCTTTTGGATTCTCTTTGGAGAATTATTTGAATTTCTCTTTGTAGGAGAAATTATTATGAGTGGTCAAATGATCATTATTAATTTCTCTTTGGAGAATTATTTGAGTTTCTCTTTGTTTGAGAAATTATTATGACTGAACTTTGTATCAGATACTACGAGTGGTGTTGATACCATATTTGAATGGTCTTGTACCATCAGAGGGTGTATTTCTAGACCGTCTATCATGCAAATAGTAATCGTACAGTATAGAACTGAGCTGTTTTATCCTGGAGGCGGCGCGACAGTTTAACTGCTTTGCATAATTTTGAGCAGTGCCGCGAAACGTCTTAAAGAAAGCGACCTAGTCCGCGACTCAACCTAGTAATTTCTTCGGTGGCAAATATTTCAAAATTTAAAACCAACAATTTTAAGACGTTTCAAACTGTCATGACTACCGAAGAAATGATTGGTTCTTTTGCGGATATTGTCTTTGAGAAATCGTTCATGTTTGAGAGAAGTCACTTCAAACGTTGGCAACAAAAGATGAAGTTCTTAACATTGAAAAAAGTTGCTAACGTTCTGATCGATGACATTCTGTTGCTCCTTCTAGAACAATCGAACAAACTAACGGTAGTAAATATGGAGATTTAAAAGAAACACTTAATAGTGTTGAAGTTGAATCTGCTGCACAGATTAAAGCGAATGATTTACAGCATAGTAAAGAAATCACCTTATAGAAAGAGAATGAAAATCTCTACAAAAATCATATTTTGAATAGACTCGCAGATAATCTGTATGATAATTACAGTTGATGTGTGATACTGTAAAACAAGATTGAGAGACTCGGAAAAAGAAGTATGATGTAGAAGCTGGAGCAAAGAAGTATGTTGTTAGCCGTTACTTCAAGTATCAAATGCGAAAATGTAAGGTCGATGGAGGCTCAATGTTACGAACTTTAAAAGATTGCTTAAAAGATCATCACAAAAGGTATGTGTTTAAATGAACAATTTCAAATTGGTTTTATTATTGACAAACTACCCCATAGTTTGAATGTTTAAAAAACAAAAAGGGAATCTTAGAGACAATATCAAAAATAAAAAGTCTTGGTTGTTTCAAACAACAAAAAGAAATTCTGTGTAGTTCTGAAGCCATTTGGCAAATGATTAAAGAATTAGAACTGCAATATTGTGAACCGAATAAAGAATGAGAATCCTTCTATGATCCCAATAGCTCCAACTAGGCAACAACCACCACCTAAAAGAAATGATGTTGGTTTCCCTTTGTTTTAATTATGGAAAATCAAGTCATATGACTAAGAAATATATAAGTAAGTTTGAACTTGGTGTTGTCCCTAATGCACAGGTCAATCTGACTAATGGGCAATTTATTGCTATGGTCATTGAAATCAACATGGTTGATGGATATGTTGATTGGTGGATAGACACATGTGTCTCTCGTTGTGTCTGTTATGATCGTGTTATGTTTAAACATACACGAATACTAAAGATAAGAAAGTGTTGTTGAGAGATGGCCAGACCACGAATGTTGCTGGAATTGTAGACATAGAAATAAATTTCACCTTCAAAAAGACTTTAATCTTAAGGAACGTTATGCATGTTTCTAATATTAGAAAGAATATTGTTTCTGGTTTTCTTTTAAATAAGACATGATTTAGTCAGTCTATTGGGGTAGATTTGTACGCCATTACGAAGAATGAAGTTTATATGTTTAAAATTTTTGTAAAGAATTTGAAAATGATAGAATAAGAATTTGTAGTGATAGATAAACTGTATGATTCTAGTTTATTAATGAATTTTATACATGGAATTGTACATGAAACGACTGCACCATACTATCTTGCAATGAATGGTAAAACAGAAAGAAAGAATAGAACTCTTATTGAACTTGTTGTTGCAATTATGATGAATTCTGGTGTTGCACCTCACTGGTGGGGGGAAATTTTATTGACTGTTTGCTATGTCCTGAATAGAGTCCCCAATTCAAAATGTAAGATCTCTCCTTATGAGATATTAAAGAAAAGACAACCAAACTTGTCTTATTTGAGAACTTGGGGTTGTCTGACTTATGTCAGAATTTCGGATCCAAAACGAGTTAAACTCGCTAGTAGAGCATATGAATGTGTTTTCATTCGATATGCAGCAAACAGTAAAGCATATAGGTTTTATAACCTAAAGGCAAAAGTGATCATAGAATCAACTGATGTTGAATTTTATGAAGACAAATTTCCTTTCAAATTGAGAAATAGTGGGGGCATACAATCGAGTCACATTCCTGTGATAAGAAGCACAGAAAGCAACGACAATGTAGAAACAGAACTTCAACGAAGTAAACGAGTAAGAGTTTCTAAAGACTATAGGCCTGATTATGCGGCTTATAATGTAGAAGAAGATCCAATGAATCTTCAAGAAGCCTTGTCATCTCTGGATGTTTAGTTATTTATGGCAAGAAGCTATCAATGATGAGATAGAATATCTAGAATCTAACAAGATCTGACACTTAGTAGACTTGCCTCCTGGTTGCAAACCAATCGATTGTAAATGGGTTTTGAAAAAGAAACTAAAACCTGATGGAACTATTGATAAATACAAGGTTTGCCTTGTTGCCAAGGGTTTTAGACAAAGAGAAAAAATATATTTCTTCGACACCTTTTCTCCTGTCACTAGAATTACATCCATTAGGGTACTTATTTCAATAACTTCTATTTATAACTTAACAGTACACCAAATGGATGTTAAAACAACTTTTTTAAACAATGACTTAGAAGAAGAAATCTATATGAAACAACCAGAAGGGTTTGTGATCTATGGATAAGAAAACAAGGTTTATAAGTTAGACAAGTCTTTGTATGGGCTAAAACAAGCTCCAAAGCAATGGCATGTAAAGTTTGATAACTTAATGATATCGAATGTGTACAAAGTGAATGAAAGTGACAAATACGTTTATTACAAATTTGAGAATTGTATTTGCACTATCATATGTCTATATGTAGACGATCTACTCATATTTAGATCAAACATTCAGGCCATTAATGATATGACATCGTTGTTGTGCAACAACTTTGATATGAAAGATCTCGGAGAAGTGAGTGTGATTCTTGGTATCAAGATCATAAAATCGGAGCAAGGAATTTCTTTAGATCAATCATAATATGTGAAAAAGATCTTAAAGAAATATAATTACTTTGACAGTAAACCTGTGAGCACACCAAATGATCCAAGTGTGAAGCTGTTTAAGAACACTGGTGAAAGTGTTAGACAAACAGAACATACGAGCATCAATGGAAGTCTTAGGTATTCCATTGATTGTACTAAACCTGACATTGCATATGTCGTGGGATTGTTGTGTGGGTTTACTAGTAGATCGAGTAATGAACATTGGTAAGCTATTGAGCGAGTCATACGGTACCTTAAAAGGACCAGGAATCTCAGTCTACATTATCAGAGATTTCCTATTATACCTGAAGGATACAATGATGCAGATTGGAATAACTTATCAGATGATTCCAAAGAAACTAGTGGCTATGTATTCAACATATCTAGAGGATTTGTATCTTGGAAATCAAAGAAACATACTATCCTGAGAATATAGCATTAGCGACTGCTAGTGAAGAAGCAAGTTGGTTAAGATGATTGCTAACTGAGGTTCCCTTATGGGAAAAACATATGTCAGTTATGTTGATCCACTGCGATAGTACCGCGGCTATTGCAAAAATTGAGAACCGTTATTATAATGGTAAAAGACGTCAAATAAGAAGAAAGCATGGCATTGTTAGAGATTGTATCTCTAAAGGAGCTGTAAGAGTGGATCATGTACGCGCTGATGAAAATTTAGCAGATCCTTTGACGAAATGATTAGCTAGAGAGAAAGTATATAATACATCATATAAGATGGGACTAATGCCTATAGGAAAATGAGTTTCTCATGATGGTAACCCGACCTAAATGACTGGAGATCCCAAGAAATAGGTCCAATGGGTAATAACAAGTTATGAGTAATATGAGATGATCATGCAAGTAAAGCATGAATCCTGAAGTAATAAGAGGATGAGATAATAGAAACTCTTAATGAGATCTATACTCTGTATGAGGGAGTACC